TCCAGGAAGGTGGATCTAAGCGAGTTTGGGTGATGCTTCCCCCACCCATTGCTATGGCGCCGTTGTCTCGTACCGTTGGTATCTTCGGTGCTTTCGTGTTCGTGGTGGGAGTTGCGTTTTATCCCATTTATTTTCGGCCGCTGATGCTGCCTGAGGAGTACAGTGAGTCGCGGCTGCGGGGGGGGGAAAAGGTTGGGAGGGGACGGCCCGAGCGGAGCCGGTGGCGTAGAGAAAGCGAATGGTAAAAGGTCGTAGTGTTGTCGTTTCCTCGTGTTGGGTCAGCGTGTGGTGAAGATCTTTTGTAGAATTGTAGTCTCAATCTGGTTGGAAGAGATCTCAAAGATTATCAAGTCTAACCCTATCGTGGTTACTAGGCCGTGGTACTAAGTGGCACATTCAGTCTCAGCTTGGAAACCTCCAGGGATGGTGAATCCATCACCTCCCTGGGCAGCACATTTCAATTCCTGATCACTCTCTCTGTAAAAAATCTCTTCCTAATATCCAGCCTAAACCTCCCCTGGCAGAGCTTGAGTCTGTGCCCTCTTGTCCTACTGCAAGATTCTTGGGAAAAGAGACCAACCCCCACCTGACTCCAACTTCCTTTCAGGAGAAAATAATACAGTTTTCTCAATTTCTCTACTTGGAAGTGGTTGAATCTTTCAAAGCCTGAGACCTTCCCAGTGTATGGGTAAATAACCCTGTGCTACTTAATTTCACAAAGTTTACAGGCAGTAATTTTATGGATGCTGTCATGAAATCTATTTGCAAAATCTTCAGGGCCTGAAAATGGGGATCACTGATTCTGGAAAGAAAAAAGTCTGTTGAATACTTTTATGTTGAGCATAGGAATGATAGGTCCTAAAAGTACTAGTCATTCCCTAAGTGTTGGGATCACAGCAGGTATTTTGGCTTCTTTTATTAAACAGTAGTCATTGCTTTAAGATGATTATCTTACTGTTGGTAGCCTTTCAAAACAGACTAGCTGTTAGTTTCTCAGTCATGTGTGAAGACTGCATTTGCATTGTGTAGGTGGTGGGTGCTCAACAGACTTTTACTGTGTAGCATCTAGAATTAATAAAACTTTAAAGATTATTGGGTGCAGTCAAGATACCTGGTATTGGCTTTTTTTTTTAGAAATGTCCTTTCTGTTCTGTTTTCCAGAGAGAGAACAGTCAATAAACCGAGCTGGTATTGTTCAAGAGGATATTCAGCCTGGAGGTATACTTGATTCATGTGTTTGCATTGGTTTGTTTAAAGATCCTCTTGAAATAAGACCTGAGTATTTATATGGATTTAAATAACACAGTGAAGAATAGTTCAAAGAATACATACGTAACAAACGTGCTGTGAAATTTTTTTTCAGGCTAATTCTTCACTGGGAAATCATGGATTTCATGGAACTTGTTTGAAATTGACATAACTGGCCAAATAAGTTGCAGAGTTGCTGTTACCTACACGCTTTCTAAAATAGATGCCAGTTTCCACACCAGGAATTTAACTTCTCAACCAGCTCAGAGCAAACAAGACCCACGGGTGGGCTGAGCTGTGGCTGTAAAGAATACCCTGTTGTACCCTAGTTTTGTGGAGTGCTGCTTTACAACTCAGCCTAAACACAGTGTGTGAGCACTTTGTCAGTACCTACCAGCCTTGTGGGTGGATGGGCAAGCAGAAACCCACTACACATGAAGGAAAATTTGGAATGCAGTGCTAATAACTTTTTGATCCCTACTGTTGCAGTGAAAGGTATAGAAAAGCATAAGAGTGGAATAAAATTCAGGTATGGCAAACTATCCTTGATGGTTCATTTTTTAAAATAATGATAAATGTTCTTTAAACGAGGTTGGCACTTCTCGATTAAAGACTTGAGAGTGCTTGTCTTGATGAAACAGGTCATGTCTGAGTATGTTAAAGGGTAATGTATCTGTATTTTTTAAAAAGCCTAACAGCTGCAGGGGAAAATCACATAGGATTGAAGCCATGCCCTTAGTACACATATCAGGTAAGTCATCAGTGCAGGACTTGCTTTCCAAGGAAATGGTGAAATGCTGAAGAGTAGGTGGAAAGGGTATTGTGAAACAAAAGTCTGGTAAACCTGTGGTTTTTGCTAAACACTCAGGAGGACTGGAGTGGCTCATTTATCCAGGATGCAGGTACTTGACCAGTTCTCCTCAGCATAACTTTTTCATCTAAATTTAGCTGCTGCTGAGAAGTTATGAGATCCATTAGCTGAAAATGAAATCTAGACAAGTTTAAGTGCAAGGAGCAATTCTAGATTGTTGTTCCAGCAGTATTAGAACACCTTACCTGTGAGTAAGTGTGATAGATTTTTCCATTATCTGAAGCTTTAAGATCAAGGTGATGTTGTCTTTCTGCATATTTTTGCAAGCTTAAGCAGAGTTGTGATTTCAGTGCAGGAATTGTTGTGTTCTTTCATTTTTTCATACACAAGGCTGGAGTAGCAGACCTAATTTGTTCCTTTTCTCCAACAATCTTGCTTATGAACTGCTGGTATTCTCCTGTTTGATTTGTAGGGTTAAAAGTGTGGTCTGATCCATTTGGAAGAAAGTAATGTTGGCAGCTGAGCGTGTTGCAGAACTGAAGATGGACATCTTCAGCTGTTCCTTCTTTCACTGAAGTGTGTTTTGGGTGTTGCTGGAGAAGAATTCTGAATATGCTGTGTGGCCACCTGAGGAGCAATAAAGGCTACTGATTGGAATCCCAAGAGATAAAAACATGCTGATTTTGACAGAGGATGCTGGTGCATAACTCACAGACTGTTAGAGAGCTGAATGATTCTTGAGTATAGAAGTGAAATATGTATTTCCTTGAGAACAGGGAAGAGGATTTTTTTCTAATCTGTAGACACTTGTAGAATAAATTATGAATAGAATAAATCATGCAAACGGCTGCAGTCTCCTCACTAGTTTAAGAGTTACTTTGTGTGGGTTTATTTTTAAAAAATTATAGAAGTTTATAATGAGAGATGCCAGTGCAGAAGATACAACATGGTGAGTGTAAACTTGTACATTAAAATTTTTAAACCAATGTGTACTTTTTTTCATTTGTTTTGCAAGTGGGTGTTGCAGGTACCTAGGCCAACTGCCAGCTGCTTCTCTGGCCACTGCTCTTACTTCTCCTCCTCCTTGACAGGACAGGGGGAGTAAATAAAATGACAAAGCTTGTGGGTCCAGATAAACGCAAGGAGATTGCTTACCAGTTACTTCTGCAGGCAAAACAGTCTCAACTAGTAGAAAATTAATGTAGTTTATTGCCAGTTAAAATAGATTTGGGTAGTGAGAAACAAAAATTAAACCAATATCTTCTCACTGCCTCCTCTTTCCAGGGTCTGCTTCACTCCTGATTCCTCTATTTCCTTCCCCGAGTTCCCTGAGTGACATATTGGAGAGTTACAGTCAGTTTATAACAGTTCTGCTCCTTCCTCATGTTTTTTTTCCACCTCCTGTGTGGGCTTTTCATAGCTGAAATTCCCTCAGGGAATACCAAGCTGCTCTGGTGTGGGCTTCTCCCCTGGCTATGGTGTGGATATCTCCTCCAGCATGGTCTTCTCCACAGGCTACAAGGGGATATCTTCTCTGGTGCCCAGACTACCTCATCTCCTGCCTTTGCTAGTTTTGGTCAACCTGTTCTGATAGAATGTTTGGGACAAAACATTGTACTAAGTTTAGGCCTGGCTGTTGTATGCTGACATTTTGAAGGTATTAAATCTGATGCCATAAAGAGCAAATCTGGCATTTTGGTCTAAACACAACTTGGGTCTGAAGCATTACAGACTCTTGATGATGCAATAAAACCCTCAAGCACAAAGACCTTGGAAGGGGTAAATATGAGAAAAGAGAGTGGCAAGTTGCCAGATTATACACGTGAGCAAGAAGGAATAATCTCAATAAGTACAATATTCAGCAAGAAAAATCCTGTGGGATTTTGAAAAATCAAATGGGATTTTGAAAAATCAAATGGGATTTTTCTTCCTGAATGTTACACTTATTTATTGAGATTATTCCAGATGATGAGAGGGATTTTTTTCCCCCTGTAATACTCAGAGCACATCAACTAGCCTCCAGTTATTACAAATTTTACTCTACATATGTCATTCTACAAAAAACAGTCCAGAAATGGAAACAGTTCTTATGATTTGCTGTTTTCTAAACCAAAATAAAGCATGTATTTCCCCTTCTTGCACTGTAGCAATAATTAACTACTCATTTTCCCAGTACTGTGTACACTCCTACTGACCTTCATGTTAACATGCAGACACAGCAGTAAATGAAAAGCTGTATTGGCTTTTTCTGTTGTACCACACAACCCAAAAAGTATGTTTGCTAGTGGAAGGAAATTATTTTCCAGCTTCTGAGAAAGTGCTGCAGAATATACACTGTTTCTATGGGGACAATGTATAACAGCAAAGAGCAAAAAACAAAGTTCAGGTCAAAGCATAGTGTTTTCACATAGTATCCTACGGTCTGAGGTCTGTTTGTGCATAGTGCAGACTGCACTGGGCCCTGCAAGAAAAATGGTGCAGTGTTTAGGACACTGTCTTGGAAATTAGGACTGTTGTAGTCAGTTCCATATTTCACCACGCTTTTGTCTGGCAGCAGGTAAGTAATTCAGCCTTTGAGCTTCAGTTCCATCTGTAAAATAGCCATAGTAGTACTCCCCTTCTTTGCAGTGCATATATTGAAGGTAAGTACAGGGGTGGGGATTTCTTTGATGCTCTAGAAAACATTTTTGGTTCTTGTCTGAGAAGTTTTCTTAATGGATCGGAAAAACTGGTCTGGATTTGTGTGGGAATCGGATATTTTAATTCAAAGAACTTGAAATATTTTGAAGAATCTTTTCCAAAAGGAAACAACTGAAATTTCCCAGGACTTTATACTGCTGAAATATTATGCTCTGAGTATGGAAATTTTGTGTTTTGAGAGTCAAACAGAAAACACATTTGCTTTCCACAACACTATTTTTTTTCAGAAGATCGCCAAATTCTAGTAGGAACTTCTACACATAAGTTGAAACTCAGCCTAATGTGAATGTTCCTACAGCTGCACAAAAAAGCAGAAACTTGGTCAGCTCTTGTTGCTGGCCCAGGTACCTCAGCAATTTCATGAGACTCAGCAATTTTCAATGTTTTGACTTGCCACTTCCCTTATGTCTTCCCTTCTGACCTTTGCATGCCAAAAAAGTAACTGAATGCCTTCTTAAAGAGCTGTAGGTACTGAGCTGGGTGGCAGTTACAGGAGGTGAAGCTGTTATAGGAGCCAGAAGTTATAGGAGCAAGAACTGGAGATACTGCAGGGAAGAGTGCTCCTCCAGTAGCCCTGGAGGAAAACTTGGAGGTAAGGTGGTGGATATGAAGAGGAGACACAGCATACTGACCAGTTGAATGGGGGCATGAGAGACATAGGACATCTATCCACTGCTGCTCACAGAGTAAATTGGGATACCTCTTTCC